ATTATATATATATATATATATATATATATATATATTCGTATTTACATATTTAACTTATAGATTTAATGAATAAGAAATTATAAATTTTATTCAGCAAGGACATATTACATTTTTCAAAAGTGAAAGTAAAGACATTTATAATATTAAAAAAGATTCCTACTTCCTATTTTGAAGGACCATGTGACAATTAAGACTGGAGTTATGGCTGCTGAAAATTCAGCACTGCCATCAGATGAATACATTTTGAAATATATTACATTTGTATAATATATTAATGTATTAATATTTCACAGTATTACTGTTTTACTGTATTTTTTATTAAATAAATTGAGCCAACTATAGTGATCATAAGATATTTCTTTAAAAAAAAAAAAACATTTAAAAAATTGTACCAACTGAAAGCATAGTGTATTTCATATTCATATACTAAATTATTCTCACAGTTTCAACAAACCTCATCTTTGTTAGCCAGCTGTAACCTTGCTACATATACAACAGGTTACATTAGCTAGGGTAATATCCAATATGTGACATAATTAAATTTAAAAATATATAAAAACTGTATTACAGATATCAACAACAATATTCAAATAAAATCTAAATGTTTGCAAAACAAAAACACATTTTCATGATTGATGAACATAAGATTCATAAGAAAGTGCCGTGCCTGGATAGGTCAAGTGACATTTCCGTCAACTGGCCTCAGGTCACGGGGCCATCCTTATTGTTGAGCCCTGTTATTTATAGCCCAACTAACAATACAAAGCTGTTGATCACTTCCCTCCTCATCTCTTTTGACAATAACATAAAATCATTACAAATTATTCTCCCTGTAGAACGTTCTGCAACATACAGGCTTTAGATTTTCCAAGAACCATCAAAGCATTTAAAAAGCAAAGTTCATACTGCAAAAATGACAGAACCAAAACATTAGCCTTTCTCACACGCCCTCGGTGTCAGGACAGGTATGTTCATCCAGCAGCAACCCGCCAGAACACACATGCACTTTCTGCACTCAAAGGGTTCTCATCCCCAGGATCTGCACTCCACAGCAGGTGAGGTCTCATCTCCACCGCAGACCAACAACCCCAGCGGAGACCTCAAAGCCTGGAATAATAGGGTGGCTGGGGTGGGATGTGAAGCATTGGGAGTAGATTCAGAAATGATTTGCCTTGGTTTTAATGCCAAATGGTTTTAAACAGAGCAGGCTTCTTTATCAAACCATAACAGAGATTCATATTTTGAAAATAAAATGATGATATGTGTTCTCTAAATACAACTAAGCCATTTGGGTAATACAAATGGATCAGCATAATTAGAGTCACTGAATGTTTTCTGGGAATGCAAACAAAAGCAAAATCACATGCCCACGAAGAGATCCATTTCTCTATATAAAATCTCCATGGCCGCCACTTTACTGCTTGATGTAAACATAATGAAATTAAAAATAATCCTCGCTCCGAACAGAAAAACACTGCAATGTCCTCATTTATACTGGAGCAAAATGATACTTTCTTGTACAAATAAGCCAGTGCGCCAAATATGTTGAGCCTTGTTTTTCATTTCTCCAGTTTCAGAGTAAATAGTCTTAAAGACAAAGCTTTACAATAACAAACTGTCGTGTGTGTCAGATATATTGTTGCATATAACCCATAGCTGACATGAGACTTTAATATCTGCATGAAAAACGAGGCAACACGCCCAAAAGAGCGACAAGTGCAGCGCGCAACAAAGAAAGAAGGAACAACAGGTGGCCGCAGACGGTAACAGCTCAACACTGGTCTCTCATCCACAAAGGTGTAAAACGGAATTATGGGGGGTTCCACACCCCTCATTCAGGGTTAAACATCCTAAATAACGGTGAAGAAGCAGGCTGGGTGTGTTTAAAGCATGTATCGGCTTTTAATATAATTTCAACAATCGCAAAAGTTTGCAAATTAGTCGGAAATTGCTAAATGTGTTCGTTGGCGAACAGAAATAGTCTTTGATTGAGGAGGTAACCATAGCAACAGCTAAGCGGTCGCCGTCTGTATCGGACGTTATAAACAAAAACACTATTACTGTTATTACTTGTCACGCTATTAGGCTACACAAATGTATCTCAAAATTCGTTCAGATTTGTTTAATAAGTTTACGCTTAGTGTCTGTTTGCGCGAGATGAACCTCAACCTTCTGCGCCCAGAAAAATTACTGACAGAAATTGTTTTAAAAAGTTCAGCTGCCTGAAAGCCGCTTAATGATTCGCAAACTGGTGCAAACCACTTGCAAACAGAGCTAAAGAAAGAACAACACTGCACTAAATAAGGACCGAGGATTGTCCGTGCAAAGCTCTGGAGAGAAAACAACCGTGGAAAAAAAAAAAAAGTCAAAGCGGACTGAAAATAGCAGCGCATGATCGGCGGCTTACCTGCGGCTGCAGCGCAAGCGAGAGCAGGAAAATCACGCTCCAGTGCTGTCCGCGCTCAACAGCCCTTATCATCGCCCTACCAGCACTCCTCCTGTCCGTACTCGATCTCTCCCAGGAGTGCCAACTCTTTCGGTCTCTGTCCATTCTCATAGCAGACATTTGCGCACTTGTTCTGTGCGTACGGAACAGCCTTTCCCTGTTTGGTGACGCTTTCTTTACACTGTCCATGTGTCCATCATGAAGACACAGCGGGAAAACGAGTAAGTAAATGTGGCACAGGTAAATGATAAAACCACTGAGATCTTTCCACACTCCGAGTCCAGGGTGCTTCCTCCTCCTCCTCCTCTAGCTCTTCCTTCTTCCACCTGCTACAGTTAAGAAGCTTTGAATGTTCGACCTGCTGACCTGACTTGAGCTTTCATCCCATTTACTTTCCCACTCACTTAAAGCAGCTCTTTTCTCTCTCGTCAGCCGGATAGGCTTTGCCGATGCCCTCCCAAAGCAAAGCGTTGCAAAGGGCGAGCGATGAGAGCGAGACTGCGCATCACCGTGGGAAGCACTAGCGGTAAAGTTGCCAGTAGAGGGTGTGTCCTCCGCCTGGGAATATCCGTCACCTGTCTCTAACTTGAATATAATAGAGTCATATTTGTCTGTTACAAACTTAAGTAGCTTGGAAACATATGTCTAAATTATTTTCATGTAGCCTAATGTAAGGAGTGCTGCTGTTAACCCAAAATACTGCAACACTAATAGAAAACGCTTAAAAATCAGTGTCTGAATTTATTGTGGTAATCAAGTCACCGTCCATTTTAAATATTAGCCTGCATCCAAAAATGAGTCAATAATAAATTAAATAAAACTGCAAATAAAACTGGACACAAATACATGTAGCACAAATAGATAAACATAACAACTCTAAAAACACATCACAAAATGAGTGTCAAATACACGGTCATTCTGTGCTTTGAGTCCTTTTTTTTTTGTGTGAATTGTGACCATTTTACAATCCTCCTCCTAAATTATGATAAGATGATAAGATCTGCAAGTATAAAAAAAGAAGCAGCCCTGCTTGGCAGAAAAAAATAATCTTTTTTTTTTCTCTTTGTTTCTACAGATGGACACAGAGACTTAGAGTTAGTCCACTCAAAAATGAAAAACCTGTCATTTACTCACCCTCATGTTGTTCTTCATTTGTGTTTTGAAGATAACCAAAGTCTGATGGATTTGAACTACAAGAGGGTGACTAAATGATGATTATGACGACGATTTCCCTGAAAAATGAAGCTTTTTCTTTTCTAAGTTACTGCAAGTTCATCTGAAATGTGAGCAGCTTTTTTCAATGGCACATGGACGTTAAATTTCTTGGATGAACATTCTATTCTGGAATGTTATGCTTTTATTAGCCATGCCGTTTTAAAGCAGTTTTCACTATTAGCTGTTGTAAATTTTTCCTCAAATTTCTATGCAATGCTAACAGTGGAAATTATGCCAATGAGTGTTGAAGATTTCACTGTGATGTAGTAAACATTTTAAAATGTTTGACTCTCAAGAAGTGTAAAAAGCTTCATTTTTTCCCCCAAACAGTAATTCAGTGGCATTTAGTAAAATCACATTCTGAAGGTGAAGAAATTGCTTACAATTTAGATTTGTATTTTTCTGGATATTTGATTTTAAAATATGTAAACATTTGTTAATTCAAATAGATTTAGTGATAATTTGTGATATAATCATTTAAAAAATATATTTGGTTGAAAGTGAATTTTTAGTTTCAGTTGACTATAGAAATTTGATTTTGTCAAACATTTTTTTTTTTTTAGTTGAGAAAAAGTAAACCGATTACTTGTAACAAGTTGAAGCAATTGTTTTACTTTGATCCAACAAAACTTTTGTTCCAGTGTAGTTTTAACATCTCAGCTAACAGGGAACGTTCTCAGAACTTTGCCTATGGCAAGATTCTCTCTAAGTTCAAAGTTACTGTCAAATCGTTAGCATAAAAATGTTATTTATACATTATTAATTAAACGTTTTTTTTCTGAACAGTTTGTTTAATTTGCCTTTTCTGAAGGTTACTAGAACGTTCAGAGAACATTCAAGTAACATTCATATATTGTTTGAATATCGAATCTTCCCGCAACATTTGTATAAACAAGGATAAAGTTTTTAAAACATTTTAAAAAATGGGATGTTTCCATTTTTTCAAATACTTTAATGGGAACATTTGCAAAAGAAACAAAAGAATCAAGTAACATTCATATATTGTTTGAAAATCGAATCTTCCCCGCAACATTTGTATAAACAAGGATAAAGTTTTTAAAACATTTAAAAAAATGGGATGTTTCCATTTTTTCAAATACTTTAATGGGAACATTTGCAAAAGAAACAAAAGAACATATTTTGTTTGCTGGAATGTAGATAAAAAGCTTGTGTGGATACATAAAATTAAACAGTCCTGTCATTTCACATGCATTACCGGGAGTCAGAGAATCATTATAAAATCATGTAAAAAAAAAAAAAAAATACTTTCATAGCTTAAAATTGGGGTTTGTCCTTTGGGGTAAAACCTTTATTTATACATTATATCTTTATATTTCACTTACACCTTCTACTGTCACCTCAGGAGGGTGCTGGTCATATGCTGATTTCCAAACTAGATAAACTGATGCTGTTCAGCTCCCTGTATTACAACACTTGGTCTTTATGCATACATATGATGCATAAGGTTAATCTCAACAGCCCAACAACACTTCTATTTTGATACAATTATACAGTTTATAAATGACAGAGAAAGACCCATACCACAAACAAGATCACGCCGATTCTACAATTATATGCCTGTCCTTTTTATGAAGTCACAGTATACAGTTATCAATTGTAACAAATAAATTGTGAAACTACCCCATCCCATAATGCACTGGTCTGGAAATTCTCAGTAGGGCTTCTTTTCATGTGTACTCCCATGGCAGTTCTGGAATAATAGGTCTCAAGCTTCACTTAATCTCCGAGCATGATCAAAGTGCTGCGGCACCAATTAAAAGACCCCGTCAGAGGCCAGACAATAGACAGACAGAGGCTGTTACATTCAATACTCATGCACATTTACATTACCGCCGGCTTGTTATCACATCATAGGCTAAAAGTGGAAGTGGCATGCTTTCTCTGACTTAATCATTAGGTCGTTGGGTGAGGACAAAGCAATAAACCTAGAACCCTTTTTTTTTTCAGAGGTTTGGACGCCAAGTAGTGTTTGTGGGGCCCTATTGCACCCAAAATGACTATGGATGTTTGAACATTCACAAAGATGGAATATTTTAGTGTTTACAGTAAGATTGCGTGTGTAGGCCTACTACTGTCTACAGTTCTACATTGCTGAAGAAAAACATGACAAATGAAATAAAAATGAACCAGTTTAATTTCTGGAATCTTTTTTACAGAAATAACAACTAGTGACTAGTCTGGTTTGTTTACGGGTTTTATATGGGTTTTGACCACTTTTCAGCTGATCAGGCATAATTTTAAACCAGGTCCGTCTATAAACCGGACATCTGGAAATTAAACGCATATCGGCATCATTTCGCTGCTTTCCAGATCTCCATAACGGGGACCAGTGAACTTTCCACTGTGTAGGCATGGAGGCAGTTAGCTACTACAACACAAAGCATCCGCTTTATGCTGAAAATATAATGAGCCGATTTTATTGACCCGATCCTGTTTCCTCCCCCCATTCGCGACGGGATGGACTAGTTGCTGACGCGCACATCCCTGGAAACCGGTTATTTCCCAAAGTAGAGTGACCCGTGGTCAGAACAGAGGGCTCTTGAAGTCCGGCTGCGATTAGCATAGAGTGGCGCTGACCTCGACTCAACTGAATTTTAATCGCTCTCGCTCTTTATTCCTACTGATCTAAAGCCGCGCTGAGAGCGTGACATCATTTATGTATCCGTTCGAATTTTCAGCTGTTGGCGGTAACTACCTGTACGGCTGTGTTCTGACAAAGTATTTTTTCGTCAGTACTTCATTAAATCATTAAATTACGGCATAGACAAACTACCAGCAGTGACGGATAATCTTTTGAGGGCTCATAAACCAATAAAACTTACTAATATTTTTCCAGTCTGCTCCGTGATGAGTGACATTCACGTAACAAAAAGAAAAAGAAAAGATTTCCAGAAAAAGCAAATATGACAGCCTTTATGTTGCGCATTTCCTAAGGCAGAGAACCAATCCGCCCCTGAGAAGAATGGAAATGGGTACAAACCTTACAAACAAACGTACAACCGTAAATACTACAACAGTAAATGTCTCCATCTGCTGGACCCATTGTGAACTGAAAGTTGGTGATGGAAAGAAAGCCAGTCCCTCTGGACTAACTGAACAAGAACATCCTCATATTTGCTCTATTTCCGTGCCAGATTATAAGCAATACATAATAAACAAAGAATAAACTAAACCTACACAGTTTATAGTCACCAAGTTCTAGGCTTGAACCCATAACAGCCCATTTTGGAGGTAGGTTTGTGGGCATATTTGGATTCTGGACAAGGCACAGTGATGTAGTTTTCTCAAACCAGCCAACCTGTCGCTTGGTCAGATGATCAGCGTGGGGACAGCTGTGTCCCACACATTGCTGGCATAAGAAGTGTCTGTTCCGTGACTCAAAGGAGGCAGTGTTGGTGGACAACTAACTGCTAGGCACGATGCCAATTGCATGAGACACACACACAGCACCAGCAGCAGTTAAGGTCAGGTTTTTCTCAAGGCAAAACAGTGGAGTGTGCAGAGGCTTGGGAAAACTGCAGAAGAATGTACGTTCGTGTACACAGAAAAAAAGCTGATCTAGTAATTTAGGTCACAACACAATGTAACTCAAGGCAGCCCCTATTGTACAGCTGACAGTCCAGAGTCCCTCAAACTTAATTGAAGAGTAAATGACCTCTTACACAAACACTCAAAGACTCCCAGGACATGAGAGGCTCATTTACCTTCCATAGAAATCACTCACTGCTTGAGATTAAAGAGAGTGAATGTATGAGCTCAAACGGCAGGATGATCAGTTTATGATGAGTTTGAGAATGCATTGCCATAAAACATCTTTTAATTCAGAGAAAAGAAGTAAATCCTCTAGAAACCAGACTTAAGCCTGAAGATCAATAAATCACTGCATCACCTACAAAGAGTGTCACAAACACTTATGTAGACATGATTGAGGCCCAGTTCAGTTTCACAAAGACACGCACAAACACTACGGTTCAAAAGTTAGGGGTCACTAATTTGCTTGAAAATATTTTTGAATGATGCTCACCAAGGCTGCCCTTATTTGTAAAAAAAAAAACCGGTAATAGTGAAATATTAGTTTAAAACTTGTCTATTTCAATACATTTTAAACTGTAACTAATCATGTGATGGCAAAGCGAATTTTTTAGCAGCCATTACTCCAGTTTTCAGTATCACTTGATCTTTCGTAAATCATTCTAATATGCCAATTTTGCGCTCAATTATTAATAATGGTTCTTACTGTCAATGTTGAAAAGTTTTCGCTGCTTAATATTTTTATGGAAACAGTGATGCATTGTTTTCATGATTCAGCATTCTTTGGAAATCTTTTGTAAAATTATAAATGTCTTCACTGTCACTTTCAATGCATCAATTTCAATGCACGTTTTCTGAATAAAAGTATTTTTAAAACAGAAAAGTTATTTTAAATTGTTTTTATTCTATTTCTAATAAATAGTCCTGGCAAACATAAGAGACTTTGAAAAATATATAATGAATGAATGTGTTCCATAAAAGGCAATAATTGTGCGGCTCTACTCCAGCTGCATATGAACACTACTCAAATTGAACAATAAGAAAGAAAAAAAAATAAAATCTCAAACCCCATGTGAAGGGAAAAAACAAGCAGAAAGCAACACGTAAAACATTGTGATTTAATAAAAACAACAAAGCTCCAGGTACAATGTCTGGGAACCATACTCTGGGTGCAATGCTTCTGAAGACATAATTGGAATAAAAAAAAACCCCTGCATACTTACAAACTCGCCAAAGCCAACCATATCGGAAAAGGGAATAAAAATTGAAAGATTAAGTTTCCATTCACTCCTTGCCTTGCATTGTGCAGAACAAATCTAACGGGCACAGCTAGGCAAGTCACATCAAATAAAAATGTACTTTTCATCTCTGGACTTTTTCTTTTGAATGGCGTGCATGTAATCTATTCAGCCATTAAAGCCTGAACTGTCCCAAGTGATTTCTAAATGCAGGCCTGTGTATAACTGCCAATTGTCATAGAAGCTGCATGTACGTGAGTGTTATTTCTTTGCAAATGAGATTTTCATTGCATTGCTCTGTGTGATCTTAAAGCCTTGCAAAGCTTCTCTGGCTGCGCCCACCTGCACCTCATTATTAAACTCCACAAAGGCGATGTCGTGACGACCAGGGACAAGACGGACTTCTTTGAATCCAGGAAACCTATGAGAAGAATGCGGCATCATAATTGGCAAAAGAAGATAAAATATTTTAAAATGACCTGGAACTTTGCCAGCACCCCACTGAACACGGTTCAAAAGCATTTCTGAACAAAGCAAACAAACACTCACTGGTTGAACAGCATAGACAGCATGAGCTCGTTCGTCTCCTCTGAGAGATTGGTGAGAAACAGGATGTGGTTGGGAGGGTTTTCTGACACCTTCAGACAAAATGTTATTAATCATAAAAGTGATGCACTGAAATTTCGTCAAACGAAAACATTGTCGAAACAGTTTTGGAGGGCTGAAATCATTGACTAAAATGGTGACGTTTAATTAGTGCTTCTCCAATGACATTTTGACTGTGTCAGTGTCCATTTCGCACACAAAATGTGGATAAACTACAACAGGTAAACATGTCAGCATTGACAGCATTTTGTCATTTTTAAAACAATGACAAAATACTGTGAACAAAACTTCACTGAAGGTTTTTTTTTTTTTACATCATAGCACACCTACCATCCAATAATTGCAATAAACAGTGTGCTTTGTTATTTACTAGAGATGTAACGATTCACTCAACTCACGATTCGATTCGCAATGTTTTTAACAAAATTAGATTTAAGACAAATTATAAATTAAATGTGTCCTGTTATTATTGCTTGGGACAAAATACTGTACGTTTCTTTGTGAAATTGAAATAACACTATAATAATATACTAATATAGCACTTGTAACTTATTGCTCTTTTGTTGGTTTTGATTTACTAATATGAAAAAAAGCCTGTGCTTTCAAATTCAAATGTTTTGACGCTCTAATGAACCAGTCAGCTCCTCCGCTTTACTTCTAGTTTTAGTGTGAAATAAACATGAAATCAAATTAATACAGCAAATTACAGTACGTTTAAATGTTTCAACAAAGAATTCATACATCTTTAAAAAAATTGCCTAGAGCAATTTAAGTTTATAACTCTGAACTGGTTCAAGAAACAAAAACAAAAAAACAGAAACGAATGAAATTGACAGGAACATAACCAGAAACAAAATCGAATTTATTTGAAATGGCCATTAACTGGTTAATAACATTTTATCGTTTAGTATTTTTTAATTTTGCAATCTACCAATCATGAATTAAAATAGTATGGCCTATGCAAACGTTGACGCAATTCCTCACAGGTAAGTCACAATGGCAATGCCCCGGGAATTACAGTTTTTCTGAGGATGTGTCACAAACCGTCAAGCATTAGGCCTACATTTAAGTGAAAATGAATGGCAGGTAATATGCAGCTTGTTGTGCGTTTTGAAACTAGCGAAAATTGCAGGATAGTGGAAACATGGATTCACACACAACATGTTATAGCCTATCTGAAGGATGATGATTTACGGCGATAATGCGAGAGAAGTACAAAGCCTATAGTTTACATTAATAATATTTTAGCATCCAGATACGTTGCGAATATGGAAACATTTGGATTCGTGCTGAATGAGAGGTAGGCTTCAGTTTAGCTTTAAATTACTTCGTTTTGGCTTGACGTTTATATAACTTAAATACTGTTAACTTCAGAGGATTTGTTGTGGAGAGAAGGGAACTAAAATAGCCTATAGCTGTGTTTATAATGTTTGTAAACATTTTGCTTTATTTACCAGTATTTTTGCCTACATTATTTCTGAATGTAATAATAAAATGCGACACAGCCTACGTGACTTATTTTTATTGCATACCTGCTGTGGCATCTGGCCAGGCATTTGTCCTGGCATCATCTGACCTGGAGGAATAGCACCTGGAGGCATCTGCCCAGGTGCCATACCAGGAGGAGGCATCATACCAGGCGGAGGCATGTAGGGAGGCTGACCGGGCATTGGCATCATGCGAGGGGCTTGGCTCATGGGTGGCATTCCCTGTAAATGGCCAATAAATAAATAAATAAATCATATCAATAACTGCCTGAAAATAGACCACAATGGAGTCAGCACACAAATTCCCAAAGATCCCAAACATACTAACAGGCATGGCTACTGGTACCCCGGCCATAGCAGCAGAAGCCTTTTTCCCAGTACCTGCATCAGGGGCTTTAGGCTTTTTCTTCTCTTTCTTACGGTCTCGCTCCACATATGTGCCCTTCATTTTTGCAATGATATCGGAGTCCTGCTTTGCATACTGAATACGCTGTGAATAGATTTTAAGAGCATTTTAGTTCAGATTACACATTTCTTGGCTTGAAAACATCAACTTAAAAGCATTAGGAGTGTGTGTATATATATAAATCCTCAGATCTTACCATAGGTTTATCATAAAATGGGAAGCCTTGCATAGAGCGGAGCGCATTGGAAGCACTGTTGATCTCCTTGAAGATCACAAAGGCCTGACCCCTCATCTTCAGTGTAGGTGAAACAAGAATGTCCAGAATTTGTCCAAACTGGGAGAATATAGCATACAACGACTTCTTCAGTTCTATTAAAAGAAGAGGAAAGGGTCACAACATGAAGAAACACACAAAATCGTTTGATTAAAAACAAACAGAACCATATCATCTTTATTGATCTTTTCATTCAAGTTGTTGATGTAAATAGTGTGATTTAAACGCATCTCCTGGTTCGTCATGATTCTGAAATGAAAAACACAGATATTAAACCCAACGTGCAGAATGAAAAAAAAAAAAACTCTTATTGAGCACATGGCAGAAATAATCTGTTAAAATAAAAGTCTTCAAGAAGAAAGAAATACGTTTATTTTTACATTAAATTGCGCTTTAAATCCGTGAATGACTGACCTAGCGCGTTGTTTCAAACGGGAGCTAACGTTAGTGAGTTCGCTTGTCAATTAATTTAATCACGAATTACAATTTTACTATTCAGAGAAAGCGCGTATTTTGTAGTGATGTGACGTTCGACACCGAGGCTTCGAAGCTTGTATCAAAAAAACGAAACATCTCAGTGAAGCACTGTACCGGAGCTTGATTCGTTTTGCCAAAACCACGTGATCTGTGACAACCGAAGCTTCAGGTGCGTTCGACTTCATGCGGCGCCGCGCAAACCGATCGGCGGCTGACTTGAAGCAGTGCATGTCGGTTAGAAATTTAGTCCGACTTGAACCGGCGCCGACGCCACGTCACTGTCACGTGTGGCATCAAAGTACCGCGATAGCGTTTCGAGAGCAGCTGGCTGACTCAGCTGGTGCAGCTTTTTCAGAGCGAGACTGTTCAGTGTCATTTTCTGTTTGTTCACTGTGAGTTCCAGTAGAGTATGTTCTCACTAAAATCTCGTTTATCTTTTTGTTCATTGAATGCAAGGGGTCTAAAGGACAAAGTAAAACGCAAAGGTAGTATTATCTCTAATTTATTAGCCATTTTAAACAGTCCAAAAATGGCTGGGTCGTCTGGGACGCAAAGGCAGCGTTTTCCACCTTTTGACCACAAGATGTCGTTAGTGTGCACCGTCTTGAAAAGCTTCGAGTAATGAACCTTTTTACGATACAGTTGAGGGGAAAGCCTCGGTGCTTCGCAACGCTTCATTTTCCCATCACTAGTATTTTGATCAAATAAGCAAAAAAACGAAGAAAAAGATCAAATGAACACAATTAGACACATTTACTCACAATTATTAAGCGAGCTTCAGCCAACCACACACTTGAATAAGAAACCACAGAACACAAAAAGAACGTGCAACTTCCGCCTGAAAACCCGCCTATTTAAGAATTCGATCGGAGTTGTGACAACTCCGTTCACTCCAATGGACCAGTTTTTTACAGCAATGGCGGATCGTGGAGCCGCTCAATAGTTCCCGGAAGTTAGCGCTCATACTATCAGCGCCGTAGAGATGCAGCAGAAGAGACCGCTGTGATGAACTATTAAAAGGTATGACATTTATAGAACAAAATTGTATATTATCAGCACAGCTAATCAAATTACCCTGTGCATTAAAACAGATGATTATTAGATTATTCCTCACTTAATTAGTAGATTTACGGGATGTTATTCATTCTCTTCATGCAGTTTCATCCATCGTTGTGTAATTTAAAAGTGATTTTGCTGGTGGGGAGTTATTAAATAGACTTAGATATATTGCAAAGGATGCAGATGGACCAAAGTGAGAATGAAAAGTTTAATGTAGGTGAGCAGTTTTCATTTCAGAATCATGCTAAGCTAAATGTCCAAAAATGGATTATATACCACTACTATATTATAGAAGTAATTACAGTAAACCTGTACATTATTACTGTATTTTATACTTAAACGTCTTAGCTACTAAAGAAGCACTGTGTTGAAGGAGCAGATGCCACAGGACTGCAATGTGATGGAGCATCACTTAACCATTTCTCCTGTGTTTTTCTCCTTCGCTATCTTGCTTTCAGAACAAGAACCACCTGAAGACTGTAAAGAGACATCACCCTCACAATGAGTCTCTTCACTGGTTTTGGCAAGTCTTTCCCTGCTCTTTGTGAAAAAGTGCCAGTTCCCTAGTATGATTACATCACATTTTGTTGGTGTAATCTGTAGATTGCTCCTGCTGACTATATCCAGCCTCTTACGAAGACTTCAGATGACCCAACACCTGTGAAGAGATGACGCCAACCCTTGAGAGGACTTCAGATGAAGCTGACTCTGAATAAACATACAAAACTGCTACATTTTCCTTGCATTGTAATCAACATGATCACATCATGTAACCATTGCTTTAATTTGTTCATTGTTTCTGTATATATTTAACTGTTTCTGAATACATGACGGTACTTAACTGCATGATTTGTATACCCTAATTTTA